AGTAAGGTTTTTCACCATTTATTCAAGAAAACTTGAGGAATTAAAGGAAATATATTTGGTATTTTTTAGTATTTCCAGGTACAGTAGAATTATTTAAAAAGATATCTTATAGGTATATTATCAAACTTGTGGAAAAATCTCTTTTTTTTTGGAGACAGAATCTTACTCTGTTGCCCAGGCTAGAGTGCCATGGCGTTAGCCTGGCTCACAGCAACCTCAAATTCCTGGGCTCAAGCGATCCTCCTGTCTCAGTCTCCGGAGTAGCTGGGACTAAAGGAGAGGACCACCACGCCCAGCTAATTTTTTCTATTTTTAGTAGTTCCAGGCTAATTTTTCTATTTTTAGTAGAGATGGGGTCTCGCTCTTGCTCAGGCTGGTCTCGAACTCTGGACCTCAAGCAATCCTCCCACCTCGGCCTCCCAGAGTACTAGGATTACAGGCATGAGCCACTGTGCCCAGCCATGTAGAAAAATCTTTGTATCCATTTATTCTAATGTAAATGTTATGGCTGACATATCATAAGCACTTTATACAATGGATTTTATTCTTTTTGTTTTAAAAAATAATTCTATGAAAAAAATTTTGGATGTTGGAAATCAGATCCACACAGTTGAGTTTCATAATTCTTAACATGATGGAAGCCTTCAGGTTTATTAGAACTATTGAGTAGCTATGAAAAGGTACATACAGAGCTATAAAATCTAGCTTGGAACTTTGAGGATATAAAGTATATCCCTTTATATTAGGGAGAGAAAAAAGTAGAATTCTGTCAAATGATCCTTCTGAAGGTCACATCTATCTGTAGGCAAAAATTTCACAGTATTAGTCATATAAAAGGCAGGTGCTTCTTGCTTTTATTTCTTCATTCTTAAAAAAAGGTAGGTGTGTGCTGTTTTTTAATGGTTAGAATGTTTTATAAAAGTGTATCTGTGGATTTTTAATATTCTTAGTTACTGAATCAGATGGATGGATTTGATACTCTGCATAGAGTTAAAATGATCATGGCTACAAACAGACCAGATACACTGGATCCTGCTTTGTTGCGTCCAGGAAGATTAGATAGAAAAATACGTGAGTTAAAGTTCTTTGTCTGCTATCCATTTCCCTTTTTCTGTGTTCCCATTTCTCTTTTCACATGTCCCCCCACCCCCTACTTTATTTAAAAACAAAACAAAATTGGACAATAAAATAATTTTTTATTTTCAGATATTGATTTGCCAAATGAACAAGCAAGATTAGACATATTGAAAATCCATGCAGGTCCCATTACAAAACATGGTGAAATAGGTAAGGAAGTAACCTGTTTTATATGTATTTACATTTGGTAAATGAAGCAAAACTGTTGGATATTGCTGATGGTCTACTGAATCTGGTTTTAAATTCAGCAAACACAGCAGTTTTAAATTCAGCCAATATTTATTGAGCATCTGCTGTATGCTAGAAACTGTTGTAAGGGCTGGGGACACAGGAGTGGATGAAATAGACAAATTGCTGCCGTTAGAGAACTTACATTCTTATTAGGAAAGACAGATGAAGTAAGTCAAATGTAAAGTATATTAAATGGTAACAAGTGCTACAGAGAAAAATAGAGCAAGAAACGGGGATTAGGAATTGCCAACAGCAGGCATGAGTATGTACATTTTTAAATGAGGGAGAGGGTAAGCATAGGGAAGTCCTTACCAAGAAGGTGACTTTTAAGCAGTACCTGAAAAGGTGAAGGAACTAGACATGGATATTGGGGCAAGATCATTTCATGCATGAGGGAGCAGCAAGTAAGAAGGTCCTGAAGCAGGGGTGTGCCTGGCACATTTGAGGAGCAGAAAAGAGGCCAAGGGTGTCTGTGGTAGAGTAAGTGAAACAATAGTAGCAGATGAAGTCATAGAGGTAATAGGGACCAGATTATGCAGAGCATTACAGAGGTCAGGGTGTAAGAACTTGGGCTTTAACTTTTAGTGATATTGATGCCATTGGAGGATGATGAGCAGAGGAATGACATGATCTTACTTTTTGATTCTTTAACTTTTTATTGTAGAAAATTAGAAACACATAAAAGTAGAGACAAAAGTATAATGAACTTCTCCCCCAGTTTCAATAATTATATTATTTTTTAAAAGATTGTACAGCCAGAGTACCATGTCCTAAAAATTTACTTATATTAATTTTTCTGTGTAGTTATTAGTATGATATATGTTTAGATTAATTTGAAGGTTTGATATTTTGGGCTTTTTAATTTAATTTTAGTTTTTAATGTGTACATTTAGGAACAATCAAAACAACATATGAAGGAATATTCAGATACTTTTTACTGATGACCATCCTGCTTTAGTAATTATGAATTTTTGCCCAGTCTTGTTTCATCTACCTCCTCTTACATTTTCTCTAGATTTTTAAAAAAGAAAATTCCAGGCATCATATCATTTTATCTTAAATATTTCAGAATTTACTTAAGATTATTCTGGTTGCATGCTGAGATTAAAATGTAGAGGGACAAGGATAGAAGCAGGAGAATCAGCTAGGAGATTATTTCAGTAATCCAGGGAAAAGGTGATGGTGACATGGTTAAAGGTGGTAGCAAAGTCTCTCCACCCACCCCAGCTTTGTTGAGATATAATTGACAACGTCTTTGAAAATAATGAGATTCTGGATATATTTTGAAAGTAGATGTACAGTACTTGCTAATCAATTGGATATGGGGTGTGAACTAAAGAGAGAACCAGGGAAGACTTAGATTTTTGGCCAAAGCAACTGGAAAGATGGAGTTGCCATCAATTAAAATTGAGACAGCTAGGCCGGGCATGGTGGCTCACGCCTGTAATCCTAGC